TATCGTCCTCATTTTTTTACCGACCTCAAAAAAATTTATCTTGCAATTAATTGATTTATTGACTATCGCGACAGGCCTACTCATTGGTTTAATTCCTGATAGTTACACAGAAAAGATATTATTATCTGCATTAAAGAACTCTCAGTTCCTCATAACTAAGTTATGAGAAGGATGTAAGACTAAAACTCCTACAGGAGTGTGCAGGGGATTAATCATCAAATTAATCGTTATCGGCTAAACACCACAATTAATCGTGATTCATTTTTTTGCCAATATTGGCCAACCCTACTGACCAGGTTATTCCATCAATTGAGTTTTTCTTCCCTCATGGCACGGGCATATTGCAAGATGACAATACCAGGATACATCGGGCTCAAATTGTGAAAGAGTGGTTCAGGGAGCATGACATCATTTTCAAACATGAGAATCTTTGGGATGTGCTGGAGAAGGTCAGACTCAACCATCATCAATGGAAGAACTTGGTGAAAAATTAATGCAACACTGGATGGAAATAAATCTTGTGACATTGTATATCTAAACAATACCACAGCTAATGGGTGCCATAATCAAAGCTAAAGGCTTTCCAAGAAAATATTAAGAGTATGTGACCCTTTTTTTTTGGTGGCAATTTTTTATTTTGGCCAGGCAGTGTATAAGTTTAACTAGTTGAATATGTTTCAGTAAATGGGGAAGAAAATATGTAAACTTTGTGTCAGTGTCCAAATAGATGTCAACGAAACTGTATATATATTCTGAACATTTGCTTAATTAAGTGTCTTTATGCAAATCTCGCAAAATTTTTAGAGTGTAATCCCCATTTTTTTCCTTTTTTTTAATGCTAAAGCGAAAATTCCTCGTGTGTCTGCTCGGTCAATTACAATGTTCTTTTCTCTTAGCCTCTAGTTCAGCCTGAAGGGCTTAGTTTGGCCTCTTGGCATTCCTTTTGCCATTTCAAGCTCATACTCTAAAAACACAGAATTACCCCCAAATTTATTTTCAGGGCAGCATCAAAACTCAACAAATATATCTTTTGACGTGTCTTTTGTGAATGTAGTATGCATAAGTGACATAGCAGCACCGACCATCTGCCAGATGTTAGTAGACAATCAGTATTCTTTCTACACTACAAAACAAACAAGTTGGTAAATGTAAATCAGTATTTATGATAATGTAAAAAGGTGTGATAAGAACCCTCATGTTCGGGGTAACAGAAAAACTAGTAAGCAATTTTGTATTCATTTTATTGTGTTCCCATGTTGATTTTTATCACACATTTTTCTGAATGATTAACAATGCCCTGCAGACTTAATTACAACAAATGCAGGCTTTAAGTCACGTCACGCGTGGATTATTAATGAGGGCTTCTGTTACCACTGGCCACACTGGGGTGACCTTGGCTATTATCCTTCATTCTTTGTTCTGGTTAATATAGATACAATCTAAAGCAATATACTTCAAAAATGGTGGTTGTAGACTATGACAAGTTGAGCACAGGAGTGTACAGATCCATATAAAACTGAAAAGAAAAATGACAAAAAATGGTTGACTTAGACAATATGATAATCAGAAGTATTTCTAACAAATTCTAACAGATATGTGGTTTACATTTTAATTTTTTTCCTCCATACATGAGGTGGGATGAGGCACTAGAAAAGGCTCAAAATATTAAGTTTTTGAATTTATTGTTACAGACACTATAACATAATGGCAGGCCTTCTTTGTTTAAATATTTAACTTTATTATTTTTTTAATTGTATCAACTGAAACACACAGGTTTAGGTTCATATACATGTAAGTACAGCGAATCCCTGCAAAGTTGCATTTCACATTTTGCGGACTCCGTCCTTTGTAGATGTTTTTAAATGGAACCTAACTAGAAGTAGTTTGCGGTAATTCCCATAATATCGTGGATGCAGGAAATGCACTACTGTAAGGAACTTCATTTTTTTTCTCTCATTTCCTTTTCTTGTTTTCAATCTAAATTATTATTTTATCWGTATCATTTATTAATTTTTTTTTACAAAAATTAAGGTAAATTCAGTTCAGTTAAAAAAAGATATAGTATGTGACACATACTCTGTGCATGCTGTGTATCTGCTAACTGTTTAGCTTTGTATGTGTCTTTTTTTTTTCCATGATGCCACCTTCAAATACACTAAACCTTTCTAGACCACATCTAATATTCATGTTTTGTTTTGTTTTTCTTCACAATTCATGTGTACTCCAAGAATGTAACCCCCGCAAAAATTAAGGATTTGCTGTAGATGTACTGAAAATTTAGAACATTTAATGTAATTTATTTCTCATAATTTGTTTATAATATAAACAAATTATACAGGTGTATATTATACACCTTTTGTCTGTAGATGCTCACAAGACTCAATCCAGTCGTTTTTTTTTAGGAAGAAAATTAATGTACGTTTGTGCGAGAATCATGTTAAAAGTCAGTTCAACAATGTACTTGTAGGTAGGTTTCCATTCTAACATTGCCTTTAATTTTAACTTTTTATCAGTCATACACCAATATAAAATGCATCTTTTTGCCTCATGTTTGATATGTGTGTATGTTCATCTATAAGTTAAATGCATACCATTTTTCTCTTTGTTCTATCAGCCTTCAATTTTTACTATACAGGGCTACTTCAAAACTTTTATGGTGCGTTCACACCGAACGCGATTTCAGCGTCAAAATCGCAGCCAACGCTGAAGTTTGAAGCTTGTGCACTTTGAGGTCAGACGCAGGACAGCTGCGCTGCACGGCGACAGCCGCCCCGCCCCTCCCTCCTCTGTGGGGCTGTTCAATGTCGGACGAGGAAGTGGCTTTGCTTTATTTACAGACAGCCAGAACGTGTCACGTTCATCAGATAATTAATTCATAATTAATTCACCAGATAATTCAGAGTAGAGGCTCACAGCTCYCTTTCAGGACTATTTTTCCAGTCTGATGAGTCGCTGRCACGCATTGCTGRGGATCAGGACACTGACTGCAGGCACTCATTTCAGCTAAAGAGCAGGAGCTCTGTCTGTTTCAGGTTAGTGGACATCATTCAGTAAACTGTCCCGTCGGGAAATATGTCTCTACGTCACACAGTGGAGTCTCTCTGATTGGTTGACGATGCGCGTCGAGCTGCAAAAGTTCAGATTTTCTAACTTCAGCGATTTGTGCCTCAGCGCGTCGAACGTTCAGATCGTTCAAATCGTTCAAATCGCGCTGCTCTAATCMCGCTTGAGGCGCCGCAGAACTTCCCGACGTTGCTTGAAGCGCGTCCACCATAGACTTTGTATGTAAACCTGCTGCTCCTGACGCTGAAATCGCGTTCGGTGTGAACGCACCTTTATTGTTCAGACATTCAACATTGCAACAATGTTTTTGCATTTATGTTTCAGGAAATGGACAATGTTGAGCATTCCTAAATAAAAAAATGCAAGAAAAAAAAATACAATAGGCTAAAACAAAAACAAACCACAGTGTTTTTYCTGTAATTGTGTCCAATAGAAGTGAAAATAAAAGTTTTCAGAGCACTGAATCTAAAATAGCCAGTACCAATTAAATTTGTGGTATTTTAAGTCTCATGATTCTGACTGTCAGGTATATTTAATTTAAACACATGACTATGATTCCTAAATCCATAGTCAAATATTAGTTAATCTTATGAGCTTGAAAAATTACTCTTATTGATCAGCCAAGGATTACATCAATACCATTACTAAATCTTAAATAGATTGCCACCAACCTTACAAACGATTGCTTGCAAATGACATGTATAGCTTTACTTGCGTGAATGTAAATTTTGCATTTAGTTATGTTTTCCTAATCTGGCAACTTTTATCTTGGCTAAGCTAGAATGCAAATCGTGTTGTTTGTGTCAACATGAAGGTTTGGCGCAGGTAGCGTAAAAGCAGCTGTTTATGGGTAAACACACAATGTTAAAGACATTGATATAGAAACATCTGTCCTCGTCCTTTGCCATGACTTACACTTAGGTGATWTCTTGTCCTCCTGAGGTATCATTAAACCCTAATATATGTACTGAACCAATCCAAGCTTCTAACCCATGACATTTTCTGAGTTGATGCAATAATACACTTAACAAATTCCTCAATTTTTGTCCTGAAAAAGTTGCAAAATCTTGGCTTTAGACTCTTAAGTTTAGCTTAAAGATGTGGTCCAAGTGGTGACAGCATTGGTCCTCCAAAGAGTGAAGTCTCACAACTGCCTGGCAAATGAACATTAAAGCTAAAACTAAAAAGTGGAAGAACTTTTTAAAAATGAATTTGTACACATGCCTGTAAAAAACAATGCCAACACATGCATAAAGCCTCCAAAAGCTTGCTGGTTTGAATGTTCTTATGTTTATTATGATCACATTGGACATTCTTGCCTTCTCCTATACCCCATCTTTGGATTTTTCTTCTTTTTTTTTTAAACGGTCACAAACATATTTTTCTTTGGTATTTTGCTTCCTTTGTAGTTGTGTTTACCACTTCTGACCACTGGCTCCAGTTTTTTGTTTGTTTTTTCCCTCCACGGTACCTCTTATCCTGCTTCTCTGATCCATCTATAATTCATACAAGTTGAGACATTTTTCTCCTCTGTCAATGGCCTTTAACCTTTATTGACTAGTTTACCAAGTTGCCTCCTTCCTTCACTGCATTCCTTGTAGTTTTGATACATTTTATAGTTTTTGTTTACAACCCAACAGCTGCCCAATGAATATTGTTTTGTATTTCAGAAACTAAGAATCCTAGATGCTGCATTGAAAGTAGWGACAGGATTTATTACGCCAAATTAACAAGTGCTTGTGTGTTTTCTGTGTGTTTGTGTGTGTGTGTGGGGAATTTTTTTTCCCTCTCTCTTTTTTTATGCTGCTACTAACCTTGGATTGGATTGGCTTGGCTGGACTGGATTTGCTTCTTCATCTGGTCTGGTGTGGTTCTGCTCCCCTCCCCCCTGTGGTTTGCACTGCCCTATGCACCTCTGCCCTCTCGGTGTTCGGCAGGCATCGGTAAACTCTCCACTGCCGATGGTAAAGCTTTTGCAGACCCTGAAGTGCTGCGCCGACTAACATCGTCAGTGAGTTGTGCCCTGGACGAGGCGGCGGCCGCCCTGACCCGTATGAGGGCCGAAAACACGCTCAATGCCGGCCAAGCTGACAAGTATGTATCCCACCCCCCGCCGATTGTTCTTTTCCACGTTTTGGGTATTTGGCTGAATGTGAGGCGTATGTGTGTTCACCTGTCACAGTGGCAGTAATTGTAGCAGTTTGGTTATTTTCAGCCGTAGTTTAGCAGAAGCGTGTTCGGATGGGGACGTCAACGCCGTGCGCAAACTGCTGGATGAAGGACGGAGCGTCAACGAACACACAGAAGAGGGGGAGAGCCTGCTGTGTCTCGCCTGCTCGGCTGGCTACTATGAACTTGCACAGGTATGGAAGCGTTGGCCTGGTCTGAAATTTGTTTTTGAGAACCTTTTATATTTATTTATCTTTTTAACATTACCATTTTGGGTCATAGGTTTTATTGGCTATGCATGCCAACGTAGAAGACCGGGGCATCAAAGGGGACATAACACCCCTCATGGCTGCTGCCAGTGGAGGTTATGTGGACATTGTCAAACTGCTTCTTGTCCATGGGGCAGATGTCAACGCACAATCTTCCACAGGTAAAACTATTCTGATTTCGATAATTATTATTGATTTGTTCTCCATTTCCTGTCGGATGAACCTCGCTGTTGTCTTCAGGTAACACAGCTCTGACGTACGCATGCGCCGGTGGCTTCGTGGACGTGGTTAAGGTGCTGCTAAAAGAGGGTGCGAACATCGAGGACCACAATGAGAACGGACACACCCCTTTAATGGAGGCAGCCAGCGCTGGCCACGTGGAGGTGGCCAGGGTACTCCTGGAATATGGCGCCGGCATCAACACACACTCCAACGAGTTCAAGGAGAGCGCACTCACACTCGCCTGCTACAAAGGTCAGAACTCAAATATGCAGTCTTTGTGTTGCATCTAGCAGAAATCTTTTCATAGCTCTAGTAACTATCGATAGTCAGCACCCTACCTTACTATTACCACTTTGTGGAGTACATTTCCTGTCATGTTTCGTCTTAATTAATTCCCTCAAAACATAAGTGCTAGTTTAAAAGACAAGTTAATTTAAGTTGAGCAATTATTGCCATGATTTTGTAAATGGTAAATACACATTGGCCAAAAATAACACAAGCTGATGTATGTCTGTCATTGGCTGACCTGATTAGTTGACCTGCAAAGTGTGAAATAGTTGTTTTAACCAACTGTTGCTCCGTAACGGTGTTCTTATTATACAAATGTAAACAAAGGGCGGTTCTCACGGCCAGTAAGAACTTCCTCCGTTTTATAACCCTCAGGTTTAGTTTGCACAGAAATGATCTCCTGGAATTGTTACAGAGTTTTTGATGGTGATGGTAAAAGCGCTACACGTTTACACTGTAATGCTGTGATTTCAGTCACTGTTTAAACCTTAGATTGATTGTTTTTGGTACAGTTCCCTGAGACATTTGTTGTGACTTGGCGCTGTATAAATAAACTGAATTGAAACGAGACCTCGAAAAACATTGAACCATGCCAGGTCACTAGCTGGTGCTGTGATTTTTGTATTTTAATAACAAACGCATCTGTGCAGACACTCATGTCTCGAGCATAAAAACAGTTGCATGTAAAATGACGAATAAACAAACGTTGGTAATGGTTTTGCTTTAATTTCTAAATTAAAAACAAAGATTAAAAAAAATAAATGTAGACTGACTGATAATTGTAGTGCACATCTGCTAAAGCCCAACTTAGTATTCTTGACAAATCTCCAAAATGTAACCGAATATTTCCAGTTTCACCTAAAAAGAAGGAATTTTTTAAACAGAGCCTCAGTGAGCCCATGGGACTGTTTGAACAAAATAGATGTTTTTCACCCCGTTAGTTTTCTGTATATGCTGTCATGTAGCATCATCTTCTTAGCTAATACTTCATTTTCCTTTTGTCGTTATCTGTTCTCTGCAGGTCACCTGGATATGGTTCGCTTTCTGTTAGAGGCCGGAGCAGACCAGGAGCATAAAACAGATGAGATGCACACGGCACTGATGGAGGCTTGCATGGTGAGCATCTGACCCAAACCCCAGTTTAACAGACTTTTATTGCGTTTAGAGATGCCCGTTACAGCAGCATTGACATCGGTATGGGCCTATATTGGTCTTTTTTTTTTTTTTTTTTTTTTTTTTTTTTTAGAAAATCAGTATCGGCCCGATATGTAAAACGGGGCCGATGTTATTGTCCGTTATCGATTTTCCATACTTTATCTTTTTATTTCTGTTTTGGGAGGTGAAATGTTTGGTTGAGCATCATCTGTTTGATCATGATAGTGAAATTGACGCCGCACAGCCAGGAATAACTGAAGTAGGGAGTCATGTCAGAGGTTTGGTCGTTTATTTATGGTATCGATAAAAGACACAAGTGTGTTTGTGCGTGTACGTATTAAATAATTTGTGTGTTTGTCTAATATCCGTAAATATTAGTTATTGGCCATAGCAGCAGCAATAATTATATCGGATATCGATATTGGCTGAAATTTTCATATCGTTACATCCCTAATTGTGTTTTTATCACTTTTTCTATTATTGTTATTATTGTTGTTGTTGTTGTTGTTGTTGTTGTTGTCATCAATATTAAATATTTTTGTACAACTTGTTAGGTTTTTAAGTTCAATCGGGTAAGCTAGATGGGAATCGAGAGAAGATTTAAAACGGATATAGAAAAATAAGTCTTATAATTTGTCAAATTATATTAACCATAACTACATTTTTGCAATCAAAGAACAAAAAAAAAAAAGAAAAAAAGAAAAGCAAATTAAGTTAAATAATAAAAACATTTTTTTGAGTTTTAATGCATTTTGCACAAGTATAAATTGACCTTAGGTCAACCGAAGCAGATTGGATAGTGTTTACTTATTCAGGTGCTTATCTCTACATTCTCTGTGTCTCGCTGTCCCAGGACGGCCATGTGGAGGTGGCGCGGCTGCTGTTGGACAGCGGCGCTCAGGTCAACATGCCAGCTGACTCCTTTGAGTCYCCCCTCACCCTCGCAGCTTGTGGAGGACACGTGGAGCTGGCTGCCCTGCTCATAGAGAGAGGCGCCAATTTGGAGGAGGTGAGTAAAGAGACATTCAGTCAATAATGGTTTGATAAAAGAAATGTGTCGAGTATTAGTTTAAGTATTTTAATTYACATTTTGAACAAACTGCCTCAGGTTAATAAACAAAAAGACATGAAATGATCGTGTCACTTTTTTTCTATTTTGAAAAATGAACGATCTTTTCTTTTTTTCAGTGAGAGCAGACAGGCTCTTTGATAATCTGATAATGAGACATACCCTCTCCTGGTTTCTTATCTGTTTTTGTCTTTGTGTCCAGGTTAATGATGAAGGTTACACTCCTCTGATGGAAGCAGCCAGAGAAGGCCACGAGGAGATGGTAGCACTGCTGCTAGCTCAAGGTAGGAATGTTTTCTTCTCACATTTGAGGAATGAAAACTTAAAATAAACCATTCTAAATAGATTTGACTCGTTCGATGTCATCGACTCTCTTATAATTCTATTTTTTAGAAGAAAGAATGGGTTTTTAAAAACAAATCCAGACCTGGTTACATTCTTGCAGTCATCAGCTCATTTTTCTGTTCTCCAGGTGCGAACATCAATGCGCAGACAGAGGAGACCCAGGAGACCGCTTTGACTCTGGCATGTTGCGGAGGCTTCTTGGAAGTGGCCGACTTCCTCATTAAGGCGGGTGCTGACATCGAGTTAGGCTGCTCCACTCCTCTAATGGAGGCTGCACAGGAGGGCCATCTGGACTTGGTCAAATATCTACTCGCTGCAGGTAAGCAAGAGAGGCAAAACAAAAACAAACTGTTGAGAAATCAAACGATAAATAGCTGTTTTTAAGAAAACGCTCATTTTACCACAAATGCAATAAGTGTGCTTACGTTCTTAACCTCTGTTTGCCGTTCAGGAGCAAACGTTCATGCCACAACAGCAACGGGCGACACAGCATTGACGTATGCTTGTGAGAATGGACACACAGATGTGGCAGATGTGCTGCTGCAGGCTGGAGCCAACTTGGTTTGTTTATAACTAATATTATCTGATTTTACTCTTTATGAGTCTGCTGTGTGACGATATCACATATAGTTATGGGAAACATGACGTGTAAAACTTTATCTGCTCTATTTTTTAAGCAAAACTGTTTTGTGTATCTCAGGAGCACGAGTCTGAAGGGGGGAGGACACCCCTGATGAAGGCAGCAAGGGCGGGGCATCTCTGTACAGTCCAGTTCCTTATCAGCAAAGGTGTGTTGTTGGCTCAGATTTACCTGTTTATAAGAACTCATTAGGGATTCTACTCCAAATCTTTCTTAATTTTTTTTTAGTTTATTCATTTTATTTCATTTAAAAACAAAAAAAATTAAATACAAAAAATACAAATCAAAAATAAAATGAAAGGCAGCAGAAAGAAGAAAAAATCTTATAATACCTGCCCCTTTTTAAGAAAAGAAGATAAAATAAACAATAATAGTCTTTAAGTAACAAACAAAACAAAAAAGCAACAGCAATCCTCCTCGAACAAAAATTCATGAATACACATTCTTTTTCATATTTCTTCATCAAACCAATTTTAATCATTCTCTTAAACATAATCATTAATTTGGCATCTTTAACAGCACTTTCCAGATTATTCCATAATCTTATTCCCTGAATTGACGTGCATCGTTTCTTCAAATCAGGGGTCCCCAAACTTTTCCCTTCTTTGGTGGGGGGCCGGAGTCAGTTTGTAACAGAAAAAGTGTGACTATTGCAGGAGTGCCTAAATGTAAAAATTTATTGTTTTCCAGAAAGCACAATCAAATAACCCTCTCTGGGTTCTTCACAGTATGTATTCTGCTGAGCTAACAGTTCACTTTTTAGCTTTGAGAGTTTGTTTGCTCACATTTGGCCTTGCAAGTTATCATACTTGTCTTTGTGACGGGATTCATAGTGTCGTCACAGATTGTATTCTTTGAATACCGCCACCGCCTCTTTACATATGAACAAAAAAATAATCGTTTGTCCACTGCAGCTTAAATGCCCTGCATTCTGAATCTGTTTTTCTCTTACCTAATCTTTTCACCATTATTCCGTTCTCTCTTTGAGAGGGGCGGGTTTAGGATTTTTTCTGGGGGTTMCCAGATAGGGGCACAGACCGCAGAAGGGTGGAACAGAATGTCACGTTTTATGTGTGTATGAATGAAATAGTTACTAACTAATAATAGTTAATAATGAAAATAGTTCATAACTAAGGAACATTTTATTGCAAAAGTCTCAACTTTAAAATCAAATATAAATACACATATATGAAAAATAAAACCTAAATGCTCTCTGGTATTGTTTTGGGGGCCGGATCCAGCCCGCAGGCCGTAGTTTGGGGATCACTGCTTCAAACTGACTGGAAATTTAAGTTTCACAAACATCTCAATCCCCTTAAGATTATAACTGCTCTCTCTTTTAACAAAATTTAACTGGATATTTACAGGTAATATGTTTATATGAGCCTTATACATAACCTGCAAAATACTATAATCAACCACCTCATGAAATTTCAATAATTTCAACTGACAAAACAATGAATTTGTTGGGTGATTATAATGTTTTCTGGTTATAATTCTTACAGCTCTTTTCTGTAAAATGAAAATGGGATTTGTAATAGTTTTACATGCTTTCCCCCAGATTTAGATACAATAAATTAGGTGTGGAGCAATTAATGCGTTATACAGCATATACAGAGATTTGTCATTGAATAACTCTCTTACTTTATATAATACTGCAATAGATTTAGCTATTTTTATTCTTAAATTATCTATATGAGGTTTCCATGTCAGCTTTTCATCTATGACACCCAGAAACTTTACCTCACTGAACAAAATTAAAACATATATTGTTGCACATTTGAACAAGGTTTCTGCTTGCACATTAGTGACTGTGCTTGTCCTCTTTTGTGAGTCATTTTGCTTCATTGCATTTGTTAATTTTTTGTTTAAAACACACAACACGCTGTTCATTTTGTTACTCCTCATTTATTTTATTTAGCGTTTAAACTTTGTGTGCTTGTGTGTCCTTTCTGCTCTTTGGTCTTGTTCCACAGGTACACTTTTGACATTGTACCGGTGAAATTAACGTTTTTTTTTTATCTTTTTCTTTGATTTATGTGTGGTTTTGTCTTGCTCAGGTGCTAATGTAAACAGAGCTACTGTCAGTAACGATCACACGGTGGTGTCTCTGGCCTGCGCTGGAGGGCATCTGGCTGTTGTGGAGTTGCTGTTGGCACATGGAGCAGATCCCACACACAGACTCAAAGTAACTCCCTCATTTTGTATTCACATCATTTGTGGTTTATTAGATACCACAACAACCTTTTTGTGCTTTTAAAAGCGATGAAAACTAAGTCAGGTTTTTATTTTCATAGGATGGTTCAACCATGTTGATAGAAGCTGCTAAAGGTGGCCACACTAATGTGGTGTCCTACCTGTTGGACTACCCCAACAACATCCTGTCAGTCTCAGCCCCTGATCTTTCACAACTCACACCCCCATCGCAAGACYCATCTCAGGTAAATCCTGAAAAATGATAGATATTTTATAAACAAACCCCTCCCCTCAGCCATTTTTACTTACATGAGCCTAACATGTTTTTTGTCATAACAGGTCCCTCGTGTTCCATTCCAAGCTCTCGCTATGGTTGTGCCCCCTCAGGAGCCCGACAGAGCCCCATCAAACATCGCAACACCCCCACCTGTCTCTAGCAAAGGTAAATAGTGCAGCGAGTCGCAACTTAAAAAAAAAAGTCTTTGTCTTAGCTGTTATAATGTGTACTTATCGTAACTCCTTGTTTTGAAATGCAGGTGCATCCAAACAGAGACAGGCGGCCCTTCAATCCGGCGTCCCCAGCGCGGTCTGCCGGGGGCCTGAAGCAGAACCTCTGCCACCCTTCCATTTGTGCCCGCCGTTGGAGTGCATCGTGGAGGAAACAGAGGGGAAGCTAAACGAGCTGGGCCAGAGGATAAGCGCTATCGAGAAAGCTCAGCTCGAATCGCTGGAGCTCATTCAGGGGGAGCCGCTCACCAAAGACAAGATCGAGGAGCTGAAGAAGAGCCGGGAAGAGCAGGTAGAACCGAGCGTCTGCTTAGGCTCTGGCTGAGAGTTGTATCTAAATTCATTAAATTTACTTTTAAATCAGTAAATAAAAACAAACAAAAAAAAAACAAAGCTGTGGCTGTCCTCTGTTCATTTAGGTGCAGAAGAAGAAGAAAATCTTGAAGGAGCTGCAGAAGGTGGAGCGCCAGCTGCAGCTAAAAACACAGCAACAGTTCACCAAAGAGTACATGGAGGCAAAGGGCTTAAAAGAAGACCAGGAGGCGGGACAGAGCCAAGGTCCGGGTCCGGGGCCTGGGAGTATGACTGCTGGTCCGGGACCCATGCTTACCCCACTGGGTAGTCAGGCACACACCGGCTCTGACACCGATGAAGAGGCCAACAAGGACCGGGATCAAGAAGAGCAGCCTGGGGGTGAAGGGGAGGAGGTAAAATTTAGTTTTTACAAAATCAATCCCAGACTGCGTTTTGTAGAAACTGTAGAAACTTAGATGCGTTAATGTGCTTTCAGGAGGAGGAGGAGGAGGATGACGATGAAGACGAAGAGGATGAGGAGGAAGAGGACGAGGAGGAGGAGGAGGAGGAGGTTTCAGAGGACAACGCAGATGAAGAAGAGGAGGATTACCCCAAGCTTCCTCAGGTGGGCATTGTCCTCTACAGGGATGGGCCACAGCAGCCTCCTCTTCCAGGGTATCAGCAGGGTTGTAAAGTATAAAAAGGGAGTAAATCAATTAAGCAAAAATTAAAGCCATTAAAAAGTATTAAAAGGTAATAAACGCCATCTGACGAGGTATTAATCTTTAAACAACTAGCACACTTTCGCTATGCTAGAATCTGATGCGCTGCTGCGTGGAAAACAGATTTAACAAACATTTCTCTGGCCCAATCTGAGACGCAGCTTCAACTTTAGACAGGACTATTAGCCAATCAGAAATAGTGTGGGGGTGGGACTTAAGTGTCTCTAGTAGCAGAAGTTGGAGCGGTGTTTTAAATAAAGCATTTAGGACACGTCTGAAAAAGAACAGGAGACGATATCAAAGCTGGATGATTGTTAAAAGTCAGAAAAGATAAACCAGCAGAAGGACTACTGACTCCACCACCTGAGAGGAGCCGTGTGTCGGTGGATGCTAGCTTTAGCTAAAGCTAGCTGGAGCAGACCGGGGGAGAAGAGAGGAGCAGGCGGGTGCAGCAGGTGAGGAGATTAAAGTGATGCCTTTTATAAGAATGACCCGGGAGATAACATCAATCAACAGGTGTGTGTTTGCTGGTACAAACTGACACAAAACAGCTGTATTTGTTTGAACAAAGCAAAAGTAAATTAAAGCTGTGTCTCAGATTTTTTTCATTGTTTTTCCCCAAAACTTTCAGGGAGGGCATTCTCTATGAAGATGTCAGTTTTATGTGTTTGTAGATAAATATGAGCTAATTTAAATCCTACGCTGTATTAAAGGGTTTTGGGAATTTGAGCTAAATTATTTATTTGGAATTAGACTTTACGTAAATTAATGCAGGATCACATGAAACATAATTTACAGTTCTCACGTAGATTCTGTTGATTTGGTTTGTTTAGTAAGGTTTTATTATTTTCAATCAGAGGTTTTAATTGAAAGTATTTTTAGCTACAAGAAAGTTTATAAATTGGGATTATTTTTGCAGTTTTGATAAATTTAAAAGCCGATATTTGAAAGCTATTGCAGGTAACCCTCTGCTTAGTATGAAAAAAATTGAAAACTGATTTTTTTTAAAGAAGTTGATTGATGAATCCTTCACAGTCGTTCTTTAGCTGGTATTGTCAATGTATATGCAGAAAAAAGATGATGATTGTGAGGGTAAAACTGTGTAGTGGTGGTGGGGTTCATCATGTTCAACAAAAGTTTTTAATACATGTTTAAAAAACAGATGGACACACACAGATGTTATTTAGAGCAGGGGTTCTTAACCTTTTTGACCTCGGGGCCCAATTTACTGAAATTTATTGAAGTGGCACAAGGCCCAGTCACACATTACCAACGTATGGATCAAAATGATAATTATTCTGAATCTTGGTTTAATTTTTATTGTATTTACATTATAACTAAATTAAATACACTTACATTTTAAAAGTAAAACTCCTGTCAAATAATCAAAAGATAAGATTATGACAAACATTTTTTTATATTGTAACCTGCCCATAACAATTATTTGAACAATTACAAAGGTCAGTCAACAGACCACTCAGGCTTATCAACACAAAAATATATATATTTTAACATAAATAACAAAAATAGAAAATTCAATAAATAAAATTGTGGGCATAAGATAAATAAATTAAAAATGATTAAATGTTTCAAATACAAAAAACTGTAAAACTGATTTTGATAAAGTACAAACGAAAATATAGCTTTTAAACTTTGTGTGGTAGAAACAGAAGCTAGTGTTCATATTAGTGACAAACAACAGTAACAACAGCTTTTTGACAAGTTTAAAGTTTCTTTAAAATACATTAAAATATTTAAAAATGAACTACAAAAAATTATTTGATAAAGTGCAAATTAAAATATAGTTTTATCTGCAACTGTATTTGATAATGTTTTGAACTTTTAAAATACTGCATGATGAAAACAGAAGCTGTACTTCATATTAGTGACAAACTTTGGCCTTTTTTGATGGGTTGCCTTCATTTTTGCTTCTATTTTTCATTTGAAATAAGTTTCCATTTTCGGCAGGGTTCTAAGGTTCTTCTTCTACATATTAAAAAGGTTGTTAAACATCTGAGTGGTGCACTACTGCTACTAGTGGTGAGAAAGTGTATTGCACCTTATTCAAAATCAATGTGGTCCCACGGCCCTCTGCGGCCCAGAGTTGAAAACTGTTGTTTTTTTGAGGCCCTCAAGGTGGCGCTCACAGCCCACAATTGGGCCACGGCCCATAGGTTAAGAATCTCTGATTTAGAGGATGGTGGTGTGACGTCAGGGTATTTTGATTCTGTGTTCCTGGGACATGCGAGAACAGATGACCTGTTGCTGATAGCACTGCTCTTCCTACACATAATGAAAACACTTGCCTTGAATTTAGGGTTAAATAACAAATGATTGTATATAGATCAGTGTTTCATTAAGGAAAAGAAATAACTATGTATCCAGTAACTTTAATAATAGGTTGAAGCAGTTGCCGCTACAGTTTCAACTTGAAGTCGTGTTGGTATTAAAAAACATTGGGATGGCATTAAAAAGGTATTAAAAGGTATTAAATTTAACTTCAGAATTTCTGTATATACCCTGTCTTCCTCCTTCTCCCCAGACTCAGCCTCCTCCGTCTCTTCAGGACCCCTTCGTCCCCATCCAGCCTCTGCCAGAGTACAACCCCGCAGACTACCCCGGAAGCACCAGCCCCGAGCTGCAGCGGGTGCTGATAGAACAGCAGATGTTGGGTCAGCAGCAACAGTGTCTGGGTCAACAGATACCCGGGTTAGGCCCAGGAATGATACCTCAGCCAGCTCCAGATGGTCTCATGGTAGCCACGCCTGCACAGACGCTCACAGACACACTGGATGACATCATGGCAGGTAGGAATGTCTGTCAGAAGATATTCCCYGATGTGAAGATCCCAACGTGTGTTTCCTTAATCTCATTTTTTTWAAAACGTTTCCTGTATTGCAGTTGTGAGCAGCCGCGTGCCCACGCTGAACACTACAACTTCGCCCACGCCCCCGTCCCAGCCGCCCACGCAGACGCCTACGAACATCGCCTCCCCTCCTTCAGCCTTGCCCCTCTACCCCTCTGTTGACATAGATGCACATGTAAGAAGCAAACCGGTTGAGTTTGACCTCCAGAAATGCCCGTGAATACATCTAAACAGCTCTTCTTCTTCCTCGCAGACGGAGAGCAACCACGACACGGCGCTGACGCTCGCCTGCGCAGGTGGACACGAGGAGCTCGTCTCGGTCCTGATCGCACGGGGCGCCAATATTGAGCATCGGGATAAAAAAGGTATAAAAGAAAAGAAAAATAGGTTCACACAGGGAAAGGACTAGTGTCGAGATGTATCGAAGGAAATCTGAAATTAACGCAAATAATTAATCTCTGGTTTTTTTTTTTTTAGGTTTTACTCCTTTGATCCTGGCTGCCACTGCTGGTCATGTAGGAGTAGTCGAGGTGCTCCTTGACAAAGGTGGGGACATAGAGGCTCAGTCAGAGAGAACCAAAGACACGCCCCTTTCCCTAGCCTGCTCAGGGGGCCGCCAGGAGGTGAACCATTTCTCTGTGGACTCAGTGTTGACGTTGCATTTTAATGTTTTCCTGGCTTCAGTGTGGCATAACTTTTTAAATATATATATTTATATATATTTTTGAACAGGTTGTGGAGTTGCTGCTGCTGAGGGGAGCCAACAAGGAACACCGCAACGTTTCAGACTACACGCCTCTCAGCTTGGCTGCTTCTGGAGGTTATGTCAACATCATCAAGATACTCCTCAATGCTGGAGCTGAGATCAACTCCAGGTGAGCGGCGAGCATCTTGTTACACACTTGGCCTTTTTCATTAAGTCAAAAGATAAGAAAACACTTTTTTTTAAATTCTGAATGTTTTAACACTTGTTCTGTTTTGTTTCATTTATAGTAGAAGAGTCAAACTCAGTCACACAAAAAAGGTCAAATATTCAAAACTTGGTTCAAGTCACGGACAATTTTTTTCAATATTTATTGAAAACATGTTTCATAACAAATAGTTCTCACAGAAATACAAATAACCACGTCCAAATTATGTTTTATGTAGCATTTAGAACAATCATAACTTAACAAATAAAGAAAAAAGATGAAGCATTCATTTCTTATGCCTTAGATTTTATCAATTAGTTTTTCATTTATTATATCTTTGAGATATGTTTAGGGATGGGTACCTTTGACATTTGAATCGATTCGGTACCAATATCTGGTACCTGGGAATCTGTGCCGGTACTTAATGGTACCAATTTTCGATACTTTGTGTGTGTTGTTTTTTAAGTAAGTAAAGTTTATTTATATAGCACCTTTCTTCGATACAAAATCACAAAGTGCTTCACATAAAATAAAATAAAAACAATAAAGTAAATTAAAACATCACCGAGAGTACAAGTAGTAAAATTAATAATAATAATAATACTAAGTGTTTTTATTTTTTTAACATATTTCTCCATATACAGTGGGGAAAATAAGTATTTAGTCAGTCACCAATTGTGCAAGTTCTCTCACTTAAAAAGATGAGAGAGGCCTGTAATTGACATCATAGGTAGACCTCAACTATGAGAGACAAAATGTGAAAAAAAATTTGAGAAAATCCTTTTGTCTGACTTTTAAAGAATTTTTTGCAAATAATGGTGTAAAATAAGTATTTGGTCACCTACAAACAAGCAAGATTTCTGGCTGTCACAGACCTGTAACTTCTTTTTTAAGAGGCTCCTCTTTCCCCCACTCATTACCTGTATTAATGGCACCTGTTTGAAGTCGTTAACAGTATAAAAGACACCTGCCCACAACCTCAAACAGTCACACTCCAAACTCCACTATGGTGAAGACGAAAGAGCTGTCGGAGGACACCAGAAACCGAATTGTAGACCTGCACCAGGCTGGGAAGACTGAATCTGCAATAGGCAGCAGCTTGGTGTGAAGAAATCTACTGTGGGAGCGATAATCAGAAAATGGAAGACATACAAGACCACTACTAATCTCCCTCGATCTYGGGCTCCACGCAAGATCTCAGCCCGTGGGGTCAAAATGATCACAAGAACGGTGAGGAAAAATCCCAGAACCACAAGGGGGGATCTAGTGAAWGACCTGCAGAAAGCTGGGACCAATGTTACAAAGGCTACCATCAGCAACACACTACGACGCCAGGGGCTCAGATCTTGCAGTGCCAGACGTGTCCCCCTGCTTAAGCCAGTCCATATCCAGGCACGTCTGAAGTTTGCTAGAGAGCATTTGGATGTTCCAGAAGAGTATTGGGAGAATGTCATATGGTCAGATGAAACCAAAGTAGAACTATTTGGTAAAAACACAACTCGTCATGTTTGGAGGAAAGTGAATGCGGAGTTGCATCCAAAGAACACCATACRAACTGTGAAGCATGGGGGTGGCAACATCATGCTTTGGGGCTGTTTCTCTGCAAAGGGACCAGGACGACTGGTCCGTGTACATGAAAGAATGAATGGGGCCATGTATTGTGAGATTTTGGGTGCAAACCTCCTTCCATCAGCAAGGGCAATGAAGATGAAACGTGGCTGGGTCTTTCAGCATGACAGTGATCCCAAGCACACTGCCAGGGCAACAAAGGAGTGGCTTCGTAAGAAACATTTCAAAGTCCTGGAGTGGCCTAGCCAGTCTCCCGATCTCGAAAACCTTTGGAGGGAGTTGAAAGTCCGTGTTGCCCGCCGACAGCCCCAAAACATCACTGGTCTAGAGGAGAACTGCATGGAGGAATGGGCCAACATACCAGCAACAGTGTGTGCCAACCTTGTGAAGACTTACAGAAAACGTTTGACCTCTGTCATTGCCAACAAAGGATATACAACAAAGTATTGAGATGAACTTTTGTTATTGACCAAATACTTATTTTCCACCATTATTTGCAAAAAAATTCTTTAAAAGTCAGACAAAATGATTTTCTCAAATTTWTTTTCACATTTTGTCTCTCATAGTTGGTCTACCTATGATGTRAATTACAGGCCTCTCTCATCTTTTTAAGTGGGAGAACTTGCACAATTGGTGACTGACTAAATACTTATTTTCCCCACTGTATAAAATTTAACAAATATCAAGACAACATCCAACTCTTTTTGTATTGTAACATCAGTTGTTTAACTAACTTCTTTAAGTGAAAACTCTTGAAAACAACTAACGCAGTGTTTTCTTATTGTACAAATTAAAATCCAGCTCCATGTATTTCTATTGATGTCATTTCCTTGCTAAAATAAAACGTGTGATGGGGGTCCATGGAAGGCAAATAAGTTTAAATCAAATAAGCAAAAAAGGATGGAGTTTAATAAATACAAAGGTATTCAAACTACGTTTTGAGCATCCAAAATGCGTCCAACGCTTCAAGCTGGCTGTTTGTGCTTTTTCAGGTCAGACGTGTTCGAAGCGTTGGGAAGCACCTCTGTTTTCCTCTGCCGGTCTCTGTTTAATGGTGGATGAAATAAAGAAAGTGGCGGTACTTTATTTACTTTGAGCAAGTGAACGTCGTGCTCACAAGATAATTAATCCACCAGATAACTCAGAGTTGGTCTGTTCGACGAGTTTTACTCCAGGAGCTGCGAGGCTTTCAGCTACGTTCAGACCGAYCTCTGAACCAGCGGCTGCTGACGTCATTACGCTCTTGCGTGATGCTGCGTTCAGGACAAGTATGGAAAACTCACCACTCTTACGCCAATATGGTCGCGATGTTGCGTTCAGGTACTGAAACATGGTACCGTTTGATGTTACGTGAATAGGTTCTCGGTAGTACCGACAGAATTCAGTCTGTACATAAAAAAGTATTGAATTCGGTACCCATCCCTAGATATGTTTTATCACAATCTAGCAAAAAAAAACTCACTACAAATAAGAAAAATATATACAAGACAATTAAAGTTGACTCTCTGTTGCTCTTTCTGCACCAAATTCAAACTAAATTTACTTGTCTGGAAAGTTGGTCAACTGTCCTGAGCAGAATGCACTAAATACAATGACAAAAAGAGCAACCATAAAACAATTTCACATTTAAAATATTACCTGTTTGGGCCAAATAAACTGTTAACAAGGGCCAGATTTGGCCTGCAGGCCTTAAGTTTGATAGGTGATTTAGAGAATTTGAGACATTTAAACAGTAATAAATCAGTTTATGCAGCTTTCTTATAACTTAGTCC